ACTCTTCCCTGTACGCTGGAAATACTTGGGGGGGGATGTGTGTCATGTGACTGCAGACTTCTGGGTGGCACAATCCAATCCACGGTATGACAAGAGCCAAACCATGGCAGAATTCAAACTAGAATCCAGTCTGTGACAGAGCATGACCCAAACCAGAATTATGTCTGTGGCAGGACATGATCTTCGCCAGCCAATTGTCACCGTGGCTGTACGAGGATCCCTGGAGGTAGAGCGGTTATGCATTGGGCTGCGATCCGCATGGTCGGCAGTTCGAAACCACCAGCAGCTCCTCAGGAGAAAGACTGAACTTTCCGTGCTGGGCAACAGTTCCAGTCTCAGAAACCCATGTTTGCTTTGAAGTCAGCATCGACCCGATGGCAGCAAGGTTGGGTGGTTTTTGGTTTTGGGGGAGAGAGTGGCTTTCTAGGGACACACACACTCTTCCTGGCCCCCACTGATCAAGAACCCGACGCAGTTGCCCCAGACTCAACCCTGACTCGCGTGCGAGTCACTCTGCTTTGCCAGGCGTGCTACGGCTGGTGTCCTGGAAGTCGGTCTCCGGACCTCCCTGCTCAGCCCCAGGCATAGACGTGAGCCTCCAACCACGCAATAATCTCTGTGTCTGCGTCATTGCTGGCGCCTCCAAAGCACTGGTACACAGAATGCACAAAACCCAAAGAAGCGAGTTGTACTTTGGAGGTTTTCAGCTTTCTGTTGAAACAGAACATTTTCTTGAAAAAAGAAAACAAAACAAACAATGAAGCAAAAATAGCTCCGGTTCTTATTCGCCCAGTCACCACATATTGAGCAGCTCCTAGGCACCAGGTACGGACGGAGCCAAGAGTCGCTCGGCAGACACAACCCTGGCCACGGCACAGCAGACGTGGGCCTTGCTTCCAACCTGCCCTCGCCCGGCCCACATGTTGAGAACCACAGCTCTCACCCCCAGACCCATCCCTGGGCTCTGCGAGATACTCCCTTTGCTGCCCAACTGGGCAGGTATGCGTTTGCTTCCCCCATGGCTGGAACAGAATGTAAGCGGGGCGGGGCGGGCGCAGGGGGATTGGGTCCTGCTCGCCGCTGACTCCGCGGGACCCCAGGTCATCTTCTCTGCAGTGCAGCCCTGAGCAACTGCCCAGGGATTCGGTAGGGGACGCTGAACACGTCAGACATGCGCACGTGTAATTGTGCATGTGTGCTGAGCTGTAAATATGAAATGCGCCTCATCGGGAAATCAGTGCTGGGGCAGCGGGGTGTGGGCCGTCAGGAAAGATGTGCCCAAGGAAGGATATTTTCACCGAGCCCTAGAGGAAGAGCAATGCTAGTCGGGCAAAAGTGGAGACGCAGGCTGTGCGGAGGCACTGAGGCGGAGGGGAGCAGAGCCATGGGCTGGGCCAGAAGCCACACCTGGATGGAACTGAGCCCCCAAAGGGATTTCAGCAAAGAGCTGTCCATCAGATTCACGCTTGGAAAACTACGCAGAGTGTTGCCAGATAGGAAAGGGTGGGGGCCAGGAGGGAGGTGGACAGGGAGTCATTTGGGGAAGGCTGATTGGGAGACTGCTGCCATTGTCCAAGTGGGAGATCATGGTGGCCTGCCTAGCCTGCAGAGGTGGACAGAAACACAGAAGGTTCAGCCCACCAGCCACTGGCCCCTCGGAAGGGGCCCCATGGCAGGAAACCATTCCCTTTTGTGGGGGTGGGGGGCAGGTAAGCACTGATGTGGCAGGCCTGAAGTCGCTCTCACACGGACTGCTTGCTGGGAGGCACCTTGGCTGGTGTTTGGGAGCTTGGTTCTTTGAACGCTCCCTGTGGTCTGGAGTACGGTGCTGGGCAAGCCCTGCACTGAAGAGCAAGGATGTCCCTCCGAAGATAAGACAGTACAACCAAAGAAACCCCTTCCAACACCAGCTCAGTGCACCGTCCACTCCTTCAAGTGGGCGCTCCACAGAAACGTCTTGCTGATGGGCACTGGCCCGGTCCCCAAGGTCCTAATGAAGGTGAGGGACCCTGGGACAACTGGGCACAGCTCAGTGGGGGACTGCCACTGCCGGGCTCTCCCTTTGTGCTTGGGGCAGATGCAGGTGTGACCGTGTGCCTGTGTGCATATTGCATGTGTGTGTCTCTGTATGCATGGGGCTGTGTCTCGATGTACCTGTGTGTGTCTATGTGTGCCTGTGTGTGTCTCTGTGTGCCTCTGTGTGTCTCTGTGTGCCTGTGTGTGTCTCTGTGTGCATGTGTATGTGACTCTGTGTGCCTGTGTGTGCCTCTGTGTGCATGTGTATGTGACTCTGTGTGCCTGTGCGTGTGTCTCTCTGTGTCTGTGTGTGCCTCTGTGTGCATGTGTGGGATTTTAAGAACACTGATGTTCACGGAGGTTTCCCAAACCTTTCTGAGAGCAGGTTCGCCTCCAAAGTTTCTTCAAAACAAAGATGCCCGGGGCCACCTCTAACACGCCCCCAAAACCAAACGCACTGCCCTGGACTTAACGACAACCCAAAGCACCCTGTAGAACTGCCTCTGTGGGTCTCTAAGACTGGAGCTCCCAGCGGAAGTAGAGAGCCCCGTCTTTCTTCCAAGGAATGGCTCATGATTCGGAACTGCTGACCCTGTGTTTAGCAGCCTAACTGGTACCCACTGTACCCCCAGAGCTCACTTCTAATTCACTGAACCTAAATTCTCCAGGTCTGGGCCCAGAATCTTCCTTTTAAACAAGCACCGGGGACGGGGGTGGTCAGCTAGGCTGTCACACCTCTCACTGATGCTCAGACCGTATGGCCAACGATCTTGGAGATCAGAGCGAAAGAGGCCCCGGAGCAGAGGCGAGAACGGGAGCTGGATCAGGGCAGAGCCCGGGGCCTAAAAGAACCCCTGGGCCGTGATGGAGGAAATAGGTTTTCCGAACGTGCTTCTTCAACTGAGCCTTTGCCGCTGGAGGCTGGAGGCCAGCCATCAAGAGCTAATTTCCTTCTTCCCAGGGACTCTGCCTGCATCTCAGGATGTTGCCACCAGGTATGAGGGAATGCTCTGAGCCCCACAGGCAAACGGGCAGGCTCCTCACTGCACGGCACACAGAGAACCCACCTGCCACTTTAATTCACCAGAAAGAGCCTGGTCTGCAATGCACAAACCAGCGCCCCACACAGTCTCCACCCAGGCCCCAACAGGGCGGCCAGAGCCACGGTGGCCACAGACGGGAAATCGCACACAAGCCTCGGGTTTGCTTTGAACCTGCTATACATAGATTCCGTCTACCAGTGCACGCTCAACCTAACATTCATTGTGATGATTATTTTTAATTTTACTTCAACGAAACACAGGCAACTACATTGGCCACTTTTGCACACATGAGGTCTTTGTGAGTTGGAAGGATCACTAGAGCAATGCTCGGTTTATGTGTTTTCCTATTAGCACCGGATCCCTTTTCAGGTTAAAAACAAAATAAAAAGCCTACTTTAAGTCTTTTTTAAAGTGTGCATTCAGTGACCTGAACTACACTCACCATGTTGTACACCCAGCACCACCATTCAAATATGAAACATTTTCTTTGCCCTCCACACCCTCAGGGTCTCCTTCAGCGCTAGCCCCGCGCTCCCCACTTCTCCCAGGCCGGTGACCACCAGGAGGCGCTGGCCTCCGCCTGGCATTTGCCTGTTCTAGGGAGTTCGTGTAAATGGATCACACAACATCTGTCCTGACTATTTCACTCACCATCATGCTCCTGAGCCTCAGCCACATGGGAGGCTACATCAGTATGCCACGCCTCTTCATGGGGGCGTTCATATTTTATTATAAGCATGTTGCATCCTGTTCATCTCTGGCTTCCTTTGAGTATGAAGATTCATCTGTCCCTGCCCCCACTCACGCATCGTGGGGTAAGATATTTTGCCCATTGGGAGGACCTGGGCACTTTTAACAGACACCGATGCCTGAACCCCCTGTGAGCCCCTGCCCACCCCACCCCCACCCCAGAGAGTGTGGGTTGCAGTCTGGGCATTGGGACTTGGAAAAGCACCTCCCCCCCCCCCTTCCAAGATTACTCGAGCACATAGCCACGGTTGCAAAGCTTCTAGGCCAGGCACATGCCTTGGTTTGATTCTGCCATCTCACCCTCTCCTTGACGGTCCACCACGCTCACCATGGTGGAATACCAGACACTCTTCAGAGGAGCCACAGTGGCCCAGCGGTTATGAGTTGGCAGTTCCAGCAACTCCTCAGGAGAAATATTGCACTTCTTACTCCCATTCCACAGAGATGGTCTCAGAAACCCACAGGAGGTCGCTCTGAGTCAGCACCAACTGGATCCCTGCCCCACCACAGCCAAGCCCATTCATCTCCCACAAAGAACCAGCTTCTCTCAGGGAGCCGACCCCTCCCAGGGCCCCATGATCTTAGATGGCAAAAAGAACTATCTCTCTTCCCTTTAACCTTCGACTGAAATTTAGCATTTAGTAAGGACATTATGAATGTAGGTGACAAGCCACAGTTCTGTTTGTCCTATAAAAGGTATACAACAATTCCAACTAGTCTCCTAATGCTCACACTGAAACCCACTGCCATTGAGTTAATGCTGGCTCTCAGTGACCCCCTGTGGGCTTCTGAGACTGCAGCTTTATGGGAGTAGAAAGTCCCGTCTTCCCACCACAGAGCTGCTGCTGGTTTTGAACTGCCGACCACACAAGACGGCAGCCCGATGCGTAACCACCAGGCCACCAGGGCTGCGCATTTTCATCACGCACTGTAGGTAATCTTGAACTGTCATTGATACTCATTTCCAGGCCTGTGATGAGGAAACCCATATATTACCGTGTCACCGCTTGGCACAATGTCTTGGTCACTGTGTTTCAACAGAGATGAAATTCATCTTATGCACTCAAAATTATTCTGCCAAGGAGGTATCTGCAGGTTTCTGGCAGCCAAGCAGCCCTCATTGACCACACAGCCACGCAGGGGCCGGCCCAGGCCAGGCAGGCACCTCGGTCCCTGGTAAGCAGCTCTTACCTGTGGGTCGGAGAGTCGGGAGAGGTCAGGGTACAGGTAGAACTTAATGCCTTCGGAGGCTCCAGGCAGCGTCACCCCTCGGATCAGGAGGATCAGAAGCATGACGTAAGGGAACGTGGCAGTAACATAGACCACCTGCCAGGGGAAAAGAGGGCAGAATCAGCGAGGGGAAATGGAGGCAGACTGGGCGGCAAGTGTCAGGCACAAAGGCAGAGGGCCTGCCCCTATGGCCTGCTCTCCCTTCTCGCTGCAGCCCACTCCCCTCTCCGGGGCTGCTGCTTCTCTAGCTTCCAGTGGGCACCTCTCATGTTCCCAGCACAGAGCGTGGGGCCAGGAAGTTGGGACCACGGCCCACAGAGAGCAATAGGTACTCCATCACAACACATTGCCCACCTAGCTGAGACGGTCACTTCACGAAGGAACGGACCCGCCTCCATGGAGGGTCTTCCACCGCCTGTGGCTTCCCTCTCTGCGAGAGCTGGTCATGGCCCACGTCTGGCTCAGCGATCACTCCAGGCCACGGCCCGGGCTGGAATACATCCTTGCTTGGAAGGACCTCCGGCAATCACAGCCAGAGATGGGCTGGGCTGGGCATGGGCTTAGGGATGGGGTGTGGTCAGGCAGGAGGACGAGGGAGGGTGGCATGGGGTGTCTCAGGGCTAGGAGGGAAGAGAGGAGAGGCCAGGAAAGGGGCGGAGGAGGGGGGCCATCTGGGGGCATCCAAGGGCCACCAGCATCCACTGGGAAACCTTTCAGGGCAGGCTTCTTGGAGGGAAGGGGTTCGACAGAGGAGCTGAGAAAGCCCTTTCAGCCTATGGATCCCACGTGAGCAAGGAGACAGTGAAAGAAACAAACACCTTCCCTGGACTTCGCTGCCCGAGAGCAACTAAGGAGCACATGCCAGTGGCCTCCCAGCCTGCAGGGGCTCCTGGCCTGGGGCTTGTGAGGTGTGCGGCAGCGGGCTGGATGCAGGGCTCCCCCATTCCTGGTTCTCTTTCTCGGCTGCCATCACTTGGCCCTCTCCTCTCTGCCTGTGCTGTGTGCAGATGTAGATGGTGCCTGAGCGCCGTGAGGCTTCCGGACCTTCTCCAATCCTTCCTGTCTCAAGTCCTCCCGTCCCATCTAGCCACTCACGCTTTCCAGCCCAGGGCTCCGTCCCCCGCGCTCCAGTCTTTGCCGACACCCCGAGTTCACTCCTTACTTCCTTTGCTTGCTCACCAAGCATCCAAGCCACATCTACGTCCAGTGCTTAGCTGAGGAATGAACCCTGGTCTAGGAATTCCTGCTTCCAGAGGCTCCCTGGCAGGCAGAGAAGACGGACTCGCAATGAGGGGGAGCGAGTGGAGAGGACGTGTGCACAGCACAGAGAGCGCACAGACACAGGAGCAGCTGCGGAAGTCAGCGGAGACGTGCCAGAGAAGGTGACGCAGGTGGGACCTTCCAGGATAGGTAGGAACGTACACGCCAGCCCTCTAGTCTGTTCCCACTCAGAGGCGTCCTGGAAAGTGTTCTCAAGTTTCCAGGAAACCACTTTCCAGGGAAAGGGTTTTTTATGGGAGCAGACAGACTCATCTTTCCCCCAGACCCGGACAATGGAATGGAAGGAAGCAGGAGACAAACACACCCCTGCTTTACAGAAGGTGACACCTGTGCATGCTGCAATAGTACATGTTGAGATCTAGTAAGAATGCAATGAGATCTTGTAATAAAATAGGCACTTTGCAGGTTGTAATAAAGTGGGCTCATTTGTTGGGCACTTTACACACTAGACTTTCGTTCTCCTCTTTTTATAGAGGAGAATATCGGGAACCAGGGAGACCAGGTAACGTGCCCACAACCACCCAGCCGATGAACGGTGATGTGGGATTCTCTCACGAATAACTTCAAGTCCATGCGTCCAACCATGAGGCGAGGCACTCTGCACTGTTGACAGCGGGGCAAGCTCAGTGCTACATTCTCCATTTCAGAGATGAGAATAAGTCCCCCAAAGGGCTTTAAACCCTGTTCTCCAAACTAGGGAATACAAGCCAGCGGTGGTGCTGCATCCAGTGGCCAGCCACTACCTTCAGTCCACTAGCCACTCTGCCCCACCTTTCTCAGTATTCCACCTTCCAAAACATCCATCCACTCAAGCAATACTTCATGGGATCAATACAAACAATCCCTTACTGCCAGGTATCTATAATCCAGAATAGCTGACCACAAATCAGGGAGGCAATAACCAAAGAAGAGGCTGGAGGTCAAGAAGGACTGATGCTTCCTGCCCGAAGAGCCGGACGTGCTGTCCAGCCTCCGGTCACCCTTAGCACCACGGGGAGACCCGAGGGCACGTGGTCTTCAGCATGGCACGGCGTCATCTGCAGGCTCGACTCCTGGTGCTCCCCCAGGCTCGGGTCTCCCACAAGCTGCATTCGGGCTGTACATCTGCGGCCTCCCTTGTCTAATGTGGCTCACGTTCCCCTGGCCCGCACGGCAGCTCTGGAAAGTCCAGGACCTCACCTGCCCCAGATCCATAATTCTGGAGTGGACAACGGAAAAGCATAGATAGTTATCACCAGCGGGACCACCATGAAGTCACCAAACCTGCTTGTCAGGCTCTGCCTGGCCGGTGTGGAGTAGCCTGGGCCGCTTGTAACCCGGCCAAAGGCACCAGCATTAATCCCCAGGTATCATATACAGCAGATTGTTCTTCAACCACAGGGTGGCATGAGTTATTAAGTACTATAATTATTTTCGACCTGGGAAGACATCGACATGGGTGCTCTGTTCCTCTATGATATTTAGGAAAGCTACACCTGCCCTCACTTGTCTACATGACTTCATGTGTGCATGCCTTACCCAGAGGCCACAGGGCAGACAGGGGAGGCTGCACAAATGAACCACCACCGCCTCACCTCCCCAAGCAGGCAGGCTTCAGATAAACCATGTGCAGACTGAGGTTCCAGTGCTGCAAGTCAGGGGGTACAAAAGGTGACTTAGGGGAGTCCTTACGCAATGCACCAAGGGGAGGGTAGCATGAAGCTTGGAAATATGAAGGCGAGGACACCTTGCTCCTGTCACCTGCTTGCTCAGCATTCCTTAAAAGCCACTTCTGATCTATGTCCACCCCTGCCCAGGCCTGGCACCGCATGTTATCTTTAACGCGTTCCAAGGGCAGACTGTTGAAATGGAATAGAAGCCTGCAGATCTTGCTCACAGGTGACTGCACTACATGACAAGCATGCTGGTTTGCACACCTCCTGCGCTCGCACCAGACATCACTAGCTGCTCACAGCACTCTCTGCAGCTGAGCCTCTAGGCCAGGTTCCAAGCAGCCCCTATACCCCACTGGGATGTAGTCCACCTACTTGCCGGCCTTGATCTAGTCCAAGGGTGGCAAACTGTAGCCCTTGACCCATAAAGGCTCTTTTGGGACTTCCATGTGACTCTGAAGTAAAACTGGCACTTTTGAAAGGATATTGCTCAGATCGTGGTGATTTCCCTTGTTCGTAAAAACTTATCAATGGCCCTCGAATAACTTTTAAATTGTTGGGAGGGACAGGATTGGCTCTTCCATCTCGAAAGTTTGCCGAGCCCTGCCCTAGTCCATCTCCCATGCACACACTCGGCCTCTCCTGTCGGTCCTCCATACTCCAACCAGGGTGGTGGGACCCAGGCTTTGCCCTTGAAGGAGCATGTAGAAGAGACGCCCGGGCCATGAGATGCTACTCTCACACAAGAGGTGACGCAGGACAAGGAGGCTACAGTGACAGGCTGATGAAGTGCGTCTGAGTGTCTCTGAGGAGGGATTGAGCCGGGGCTCCAAGGACAAGCAGGGGTGGTGGAGGCTGAGTCAGGCAGGGAGAGCAAGGAATTAGACTAAGAGGTGGACCCAGGCACAGATGCGAGGAAAGGGTGTCGCCCTGGGACACGGGGGAAGGAGTGTCCAGGTTACCATCCCATGACACTCAGCCTTACCCGGTCCTTACTTCCCATACCCTATTGGGGACCAGGCCCTGCGGACACCGCTCCATCGACATCCTCACACCGGGTGCCCATTCACGCTGCCACTGTGGGTGCTTGGCCACCTTGGTCCCGGCCACAGAGAGAAGACAGATACACTCCCCACTGCAGAGGGACATATTGGGCTTGGGAGTCAGGTGGCTTGTGGTTCAAATCCTGCCTCCTCTGTGGGACCTGGCCTGGTCCGCCCTCTTCCAGCCACTGAGCTCTGGAGCCAGTTCGTGGGACCACTGCAGGTTCCCTCCGGCTCCCTTGTCTTTTTGAATGCCTCCCTCTGTCTGCCCGGACCAACTCTAGCTTCTCAGCACCTGAGGGTGCTGTCAGGGTGGCCCTCATGGCATCGGAAGACTTCCCACAGGCAGGGATCCTGCTTCCACCGGCAAGAAACCACTGTTCCCTCCACTGTGTGGACCTGGGAGCCAAGACTCAGAGCATCCATTCGAAGTGTGTCTGTCTTGCTACGGGACCTTTCCTTTCAACCTAGATGCCGCCCTGTCTGCCCAGGACTTGCTGAGAGGACAGCAGGCCAGGTGTGCCCTGACCCCATCCCGCATTCTTCAACCCGCCAGCCCTGTCTGCATGCACCAGCATTAACAGCCTCTCCCCGACCCACATCCCTACTGCCTTGTCCATGTAGGAGTCCTGAAAAGTGAACTTCTACAGGGAAGGGACTTTTCCCCCTAAACCATTTTATTAGCAGCTAATCCAGATATCCTATCATTCTATCGTTCAATCACATCACGCAGTACTGCACAATTGCTACCACAATCAGTTTCAAAACATCTCCTTCCTTCTTGAACTCCTTGGCATCGGCTCCCCTGCACCGCCCCCCACCTCCACTACTGTACGCCAGGAGCTCACATTCCAGTTGCTGCTCTATAGGTTCCTCGATCCTGGGTCTCATATACCGAGAACCAGACAAACCCGAGACCAAGGGCCAAGAAGACCACCCACGACGACAACACACAACAGAGATGACCCCAAGAGGAAAACAGAAAACATTAAGATGCAGATCCGCCCAAAGTACATCTGAGGGAAGATCAAGTGAAGGGTTTTAACCGCTCAAGTCAGACGTATCATTTTAATCTACAACAATTGTCTCTCCAATAGCCTCTGTCTGATCACCAAGTCAA